TAAAATGTCCGAACATGGAATTGTTTTCGCCGTTTCTTTCTCCTGTTGTTCTTAATTTTATTGAAAGCATATCTCCCAAGCCCACTGTTGGTAGGGACGGAGGATTGGCCGTTGATCACCCCCCACCAGGTCTGCGTTTCATTGAAACCCTATGCTTGGACTTAAGGTAAGCTGTACATTCACTGGTTATCATGAGAAAGAAAGCAGACAAACACTTGCTGCCACATATGATGTGGCATTTATTATGACATATCAACAAAGCCGGATAACCTTATTTTCTTCAATTTCTTTTTTTAGAATAGGGCAATGGGACTTATACCAAGTTAAAACTTAATGCTGTGAAAGGGAAAAATACAAGTGTCAGCCTGGACACTTTGTCAACTACCTCCCCCTCTTATCCTTCCCTTTGTTTTTGTCTTTCTTGTATGTGTTATATGTAATAGGAGTAGGTAGGCTTTCCTACCGCCCAGTCAACACTCCTCCCCCGTCTCTTGGACACGAGTAGAGGCTCATGCATTGTTTCTTGTTTAGGAAGGGGTTCCCGGTACTCTCTTTCTCTCTCTGGCCTCTGTACTAGTGCAGCTCTGTTTCTCCCATGATGTGTGCAGTCTGTGGCATTACCTCTTCATTCTGAGGGTACACGGTTGACAGTTCTCTGGTTGCTGTTTCCGACTGGTAGTTAGGAACCCTAACTCTTGCGTAGTGTCTTGAGCAGCCACTCTGATCAACAGTTGTATAATACCGGGGTGTTTGTAGTGACATGTCACGCATGGAAAGGTGTCTCTGCAGTCACCTCTGGTGGGCAACCCTGAGGCCACATTATGATGCAGGCTGTGCCAACTCCTCTCTGCCCACATCACAGTCGATAACTGTCTGCTTCTTTTACTTCGGGCCTTCTCATCTTCCAACCATAATTCCACATGATGACTTACAAAGACCGAAAAAGTAATCCTAAACCAGCCCCTCAAAAATCATCTAAACCCCTCAACATTTCGTTCTCCAACATCCATGGCATTAGAACAAACTTCTGCAGTATGGAATCTTTCCTCACTGCAAACTGCCCAGATATACTGGCTCTCTGTGAGATCAACCTTGTCTCGTCTATCCCTTCCTCTGATCTCTCGATCACAGGCTACCTTCCTCTCCTCAGAAAAGACTCTCTAACCCACATGCACGGCCTTGGTGTCTACGTCAAGGACCATCTCTCTCCGCGCAGAGAGTTGTCTCTCGAATCGCCAGACCAGTCGTACATGTGTCTCCAACTATCTCTTCTCAATGCGGTAAGTTATCTCTTCTTCCTTTACCGCTCTCCATCCTCTCAAGACTGTGGGATACTCGATAGCATTTCTGACAGCATAGACAAGGCTCTCTCTCTCCAACCATTTGCTCACATATTTGTGTTTGGCGACTTTAACGCCCTTCATACCATGTGGCTTAAGGATGCTACTACTGACCACGCAGGCATTCAAACACTTAATTTTTCAGTTTCTCAATCCCTCACACAGATAGTTAACTTCCCACTTGTTTTGCCTTCAACCGGGAAAGTAAGGCCTCTCTTCTCGATCTGTGTTTTACCACCATCCCCTTGTAGCGCCAGGCAACTCTGCCCTCTTGGTAACTCCAATCATGCTGTAGTATCTGTTAATATTTCCTCCAACTCCACCCACTTCAAAGAACCTCCTACCACTAGAACTTCGTTCTACTATCAACGAGCTGACTGGGACTCGTTCCGTGATTTCCTCCACGATGTCGCCTGGGATGTTGTCTTTGCACTTCCCGTCCAAGAATGTGCTTCTGAGGTCTCATCATGGGTTAAAGCTGGAATCAACGCTTTCATAACCTCAAGGAAATATAGGGTCAAGTCGCGCTTCTCTCCTTGGTTCTCCGCTGCTTGCTCAGCTGCCATTGCCCATATGAACCACTTCTTTCACCTATTTCATAGCAACATAATGAGTGTAAGCGTGTCCTCAATGATGTTAAGTCACTATTTGCTGCTCGGATGAAGGAACGTATTGCATCTCACAAATTTGGATCCAAAGATTATTGGCGTCTCTGCAAGAGTGTATTGAACAATTGCAAACCCTCTATACCTCCTTTGTTCAACCAGTTCGAAGTCCTGACCTCGTCTGCTGACAAGGCTGAATGCTTTGCTTGGAAATTTTCATTCAACTCAACGCTCGACTCTTCCGGTGTACCCATACCCAACTTCCCTCTTAGAACTGAGGCCCTGTTGAGTGGGTTACACATAACCTCGTCTTAGGTATTGGGTATTATCTCCAATTTTGACTCCAACAAGGCTAGTGGTGGGGATGGGATACCAGCCATTGGCTTGAACTTGCCTGAACTGGCACCCGCTTTCTCTAAACTATATAACTACTGCCTCAAGGAATCTTGTTTTCCTGTCTGCTGGAAGTCCTCACCGATTGTTCCTGTCTTCAAGAACTCTGGTAACCCCTCTGACCCTTCTAATTACCATCCTATCAGTCTCCTACCCCTCTTCGGCAAAGTCTTCGAAGCCCTAATCAATACTGAAGTGGTTAACCACCTTACATCCCATGATCTGCTCTCAGACAAGCAATATGGCTTCTGCTTTTCTCAATCTACAGCTGATGTGCTTACGGCCATCACTGAAACTGTCTACCAAGCTCTTCAAAATAACGGGGAAGCTCGTGCTGTGGCCCTAGACATCACCAAAGTGTTTGATAGGGTTTGGCATGCCGGCCTTCTTTGCAAGCTCCAGGGTTATGGCATTACGGGTCGATTGTTTGACCTAATACAATCATTCCTGTCAAATCGTGAATTGAAGGTCGTTCTCAATGGATTCTCCTCCAGTTCCTATCCTACGACAGCAGGTGTTCCCCAAGGCTCCATCCTAGACCTCACTCTATTCCTTATCTACATAAATGACCTTCCTGAAGCCATAAATTCCCAAGTTGGCATCTACGCGGATGACACCACAATTTACTCCTGCCTTAACAACAAATCTAATGTCACTGACAAAACTAACCTGGTCGTGCGTCTCGAAAAGGACCTCCAATCGGTTGTGAACTGGGGCAGGAATTGGCTGGTCAACTTTAATGCCTCAAAAACAAAACTGCTCTCTATTAATCACCACAGAGATCCTTCCCTACCCTCCATTAGAATGTCTGATGCTCAACTTCTCGAGAGCACCTCTCTGCGGCTTCTCGGTCTCATGTTGTCTGCTGACCTGAGATGGAACAAATACATTGAGTCAATTGCTTCATACACTGCAAATAAAGTTGGCTCCCTGTGCCGCACCAGGAAATTTTTCTCCCCTGAATTGATCCTTCAGATCTACAAATCAACAATTCGCCCTTGCATGGAGTATTGCTGCCATATATGGTCTGAAGCCCCTTCTGTTTGCCTCGGGGTTCTTAATAAGTTCCAGAGGCGGATATGCAATATGTTCTGGCATCTCGTCTACAGTCGCTCTCTGACAGACGTGCAATCGCCTCTCTCTGTCTTTTTTACAAATACTTTCATGGTAATTGCTCCAAGGAGCTGCATTCACTGGTTCCCAGACTTCATGAATTCAAGCACCCTACGAGGCTGTCATCCCGCTCTCACCCTTTCACTATCAAAACTACTAAATGTAGCTGTCTCTTCTACTCCAACAGCTTCATGTCTCGCACCTCTCGCCTGTGGAACTCCCTTCCCTATTTCAGTTTCCCCGAGAGCTATCATCTCCAACTATTCAAATGTAATGTCAATTGACATCTCCAGTTGCCTTGATCTATCCACTATCCTTCTCATCATCCTTTCCTCTATCACTCCTATCTGATCTTGCTCCAAATCTTCTGTAACCCCTTGCGTCCTAGTGGCTTCCCGCCTTGCTTGGGGTGAAATGCTTAAAAAAAAAAAAAAATAATGACAATACTTCATCTATGAAATTCACACAACTTCAGATGATTATGTCTTATTACTGTCAGTTATGTACTATGCGTGATATACGCTTAGGCGATCATGACTGACGAGGCAGATTTTTTCCTGCAGTAGACCAGTTGCCATCCAGGGCTATAGAACCTGATCTGTCCTTCTATTTATCCATAGCTGGGGGGAGAAGAGGAGGATTCATACTTTTCCCAAGGGTATTAGCACGTAAGTGAATGTAATGCATTTGACTGGAATTTGAACTTGGCTCTCCAATTCCAAAATTCAAGCTGCTATCCATTACTCTACCATAAATGTAAACAAATAATAGAAAAAAGATGGAAGAAAAACAAGTCAAAAAAATACAAGCAGCACTACCTACTTCCTCATCACTGTCATCATCAACAGCAGCCACTATGAGTCCACTGCTAGAAAGAAGTCTTTCCTAATTCCTATGATGACCATGACTATGTTATTCTCTGCTATATCTGACCAGCAAACTCATCTATTTTCTTTACTTTATTTGCAATCAATTAGGCACAATTCAACCAACCTTTTGCTCCATCTATGATTCTTTCTTCTTGTTGTGCAATGCTTGATCACTTCAATAGTCTCTCTTATCTTTGCCTGTTGTCCAATCCATATTAGCCTCTTCTTTTAGAGATTTCTATCGCAGGTTTTCTTTTTCTATCGATAGCTGTATGATGTTCATTACACATTTGATGTCTGAAACACAATGGGGGAAACTGCTTTTCAATATATTTCCATTTTTATTAAATTCTTTCGAAAATGAGAGAATGACAATTTAAATCATTATGTCACTCATCTTCTGTAGCTACAGAAAAGGTTGCATTCATTTGGAATTATGTATCTTTCAAGAAAACGCCCAAAGGTTTCAAGGCAGAGATCAAAATGAGATCTGGACAAGAATAAATGTGACACTTTACTTTTTGTTCAATATCAAAAGCAGTCTTCCTTCTTAACTTCTAGAGTGAATGTACAATGAATTTGCAACATGAACACTCTTGCCCTTAAATTGGTATAAATTCTTGCTCAATGACAGGTGACTGACCTAGAAACCTGAAAAGGCTTTCAAACGCAAAGGCATTATGCTAAAGAAAGAAGGAACAAGTAAATCCAAGTTCCAGACATTGATTCTGCATGTGTGAACACAGAAACCAGAAAGGAAAAATAATTTCAAGACAGGTTCTGTTACCAATTAGCAAAGAACCTATAACTAATATGCTTTATCTTATAATAGTTCTTTTCATGCAGTTGGTTTTAAAAGTACTGAATAACTTGCCAACAATATGCATAAAGTTTCTAGATCAACTCGGTAATTAATGACAGCTTCTTCATTTATATTCCTTCCAGACGTAGGCAACTACAGTTCACCACAACTTCTTATCCTTTGTAGCAATGTTTGTCTCTTTACGAACGCTTCCTGTTCATGTCCTACCAGCCATTTATACAAGCTTTTTAAGTAGGTTACTGCTTCCTTCTGCACTTCTTGACTTCAATATGTCTTGTGGGTGTCAAATTTTCCAAGCCCTCATTATGTGTCCCAGAAATTTCAGCTTATTCTTTCTAAATATAAGTGCCTATTTTGTCTCCATTTTTTTTAAAACTTCCTTGTTGCTCACATGATCTGTCTATAATATTCTCAGTATCCTTCTGTAGAACCACATCTCTCATGTCTCCTTTTCATCTGTTTCCAATGATTTTTTTCTTGTTTCTTAATATTTTGTTCTTGGAAGGCATCTTTTGCTATTCCAATACCCCTTTAGATTTCAGTGTGACATTTTCCAGCTGTTAAAATTTATCCTGGATAGTTAAATTTGTGTACTTGCATGATTTTGATATCTCCAATTTGTAGCTTGCATAAAAAGAGTATGACTAAGGGGATCCCTACAGTGACTTGTTAACAGTAGAATATTACTCACCATGCCCAATTGATGCTAATTCAGATTTATTAGAATTAATCTGCTTTAGGTTTGTTTTATTAAAGCCCAACGGATGCTTCAACAGTTGTTCACAATTTTCATTGTTCATCAAGAGGTGTTCACATTTATTTTAATAAGAGTATGTACACAAATGAATTGTTGGACTGTTTAGTGAAAAGTCATATATTTATTACCAGTACTAGTAACTGGTGTTCAAGTCCAGATATAAAATCAGAAATTTAAAATGCTGATTTTCAAGGTAAGTGGACAAAGAGGTGTAATAAAGGAGAAAGTATTACTGATATCAGCAAAAGAGAGAGAAAAACGTGGAGAGCCATGATCACACATATTTTGAAGGGAGATGACAAAGAGAGAGAACCAACTTGACAAATTTGAACAAACAAATGGAGGAACAAATGCCACGAGGACAAAATGAAGTAATAAATGAATAAGTATCACTGAGAGCAACAAGAGACAGGAAACCATAGAGAGCCATGATCACACATATTTTGAAGGGATATGACAAAGTGAGAGAATCTACTTGACAAATCTGAGTAAAATAGAAGAACAAGTGCCACAAGGACAAAGTGAAATCATAAAATTGCAAAAAGGATCATAAAGTGTTGCTGAAAGAAACACAGTTGTCAATAAGCATGGCTCACCCATACCTTGAATAGACAAAGCACATCGTGCTAGACAATGTTTTTCCTCCTGAATCTATCTTACATATCTACAAGTCTACCATTCATCCATGCTTAGAATATTGCTGTCACATATGATCTGGTGTTACTGCTATATATCTAGAGATCCTTGATAAAATCCCAAAAAAAAGAATCAGCAATATTACTGGTCTTGATCTGGTGGCCCAGCTTCAGTCACCATAAAGTTGCCTCCCTGTGTCTTTTCTATAGATACCTTCATGACAACTGTTGGGATGAGTTCTTCATCATTGTACCTAGACTTTATGAAAATAAGCACAGTACTAAACTGCCAACAAGGTCTCCCAATTTAGAGTTGAGTTGGCTAGATATAACCATAACTTTTATGCTAACAGTTTCTTTTCCCACACTTCTTACTTGTGGAACTACCTTCCAGCTTCATGCTTTCCAGCCAACTTTAATCTGCAAAAATTTAAAGGGAATGTCAATCACTATCAACTGTCCTCCTAATTACTCTTTTTTCTTTCCACTCATTATTAATGTTTCTGTTTCTAATTCTTCCACACCCAGTAACCCCTTTTGTCTTATTGGCTTTACTGCCTTGCTTGGAGTGAAATCAATTATAAAAAAAAAAGAAGAATATTAATAATCAAGTGAGATTATATGTAAATAAAAAGCCCCTATTTTTGAAGGTATGGAATTTAAGGATACATATTGAAGAAAGACGACTCAGAGAATTTAATATGCACAGGGCAGATAAAAAGCAAGAAAAGTAAAGAAAAGCAGTGGGAAACCTCCTTGACAAATAGAGAAAGCAATAATTTTCACAAAAGGGAAATGTAAAGAAACAAATATTGTTAAAAGAAAGGAAGCTGTGGAAAACCATAACTGACATAGAGAGAGATACCAGAATGTGAAAAAGAGAAAAAACCGGCTAAGTTTATCTTTGAGCAATTGTATCGTCCATAATTATTTATTGGTGGGAGGAAAACAGTACTATATATAAGTTTCAAACCAATTTTTGTATATTTGAAAATATTTCTCTTTTTATATTGCACTGGTTTCATCGTTTGGATCTCTTTTCGAAAAGGCAAAGATTGCAGTTTTATGTTCGGATTGACCTTCAATCGCCATAAATCAAACGGATTATCTTTCTAATATAAATTACTTCAGTGTGTTGCTAAAATTCTTTGGTGTCATCTTTCTTTTTTTTCTCCTCCTTGTAGTCTCATTGTTCTCCATTTTTCTCTCTCATTTTTCTTTTTTTCTTTTCACATACTTCCCTTTCTGTTTCTCTCAGTTTTTTGTATTTTTCTTTCAGTTCCTTTCTTGCCTGTTGTTTTGTTTTTTTCTTTTTTTATATTCTTTACATCATTTCTTTTTGTCATCTTTCACAAACCCATTTTCTTTCTTCTTCACACTTAACCTAAAACTTTCTACCTTCTCTGTATTGTTCCTCTCAATTTTCTCTCTCTCATCTCTTACCTTTTCTCTTCATTCCTCTTACTCATTTATCCTTTCTCTCTATTTTACACCTTACTTTATACACTTTTTCAAACTCTTTTTCTTTCATTTCTTTTTTCATTCTTTTTTTAAAAATCATTTTCTTTCTCTACACCCATGCATCTATCTCTTACTTTATAAAACAAATATAGATTAAGTTTACATAATTTTCTTAATTAATTTCATCGATTCTTCTTGTCCGATAACTATACCATATCAAGTAATAGAACTTACACAATATGGTCTACAGATGAGTAGATCAGTGAAGCGAGTTCAAATTCCAGGCTAGTCAGTTGCATTCACTTTCGCACCACACTCCACCAGCTATGAGTCAAATTACAGAGTAGACTGGGCTCTTTAGCTTTGGGTGGCAACCAGTTTAAGAGAAGGAAAACTCTGAATTCCAAACTGTTGTGAAGATAACAGAAAAACCAATCTGATTATCTTCCCCAAGAATGGCATGACTATTCACAAATAATAAAGAAAAAATAAACTGTGGAAAGTCACGATTGCCAAGTCCTGATGGGATGTGACATAAAAAAGAATGACACAACACTACTTAAATAAGCAAATATATTTCACTCTTCAAGACAAATAATTCTTCAAATATGGCACTTCTCACTTTCTTCTCCGACTTTCTATTCCTTTCTCCTTCATTTATGTTTATTTCCCCATCATTTTTCTCTCTTTCTGTCCTTTTCTCATCCTTGTATAGATTAATTTTTTTTTTATCTCCCCACTTTTTATTTCATTTTCTGTATCTCTTCTATTTTTCTGCTCATTTTCAAATTCCAGCTGAGATATAAGTGAAATATTTTATTATATATATATATATATATATATATATATATATATATATATATATATAGGTGTCCACAAAGTTCGTCTGCACTTTAAAAAATTTATAACTTTATTTGTATTTGTGATAGAAATAATTTGTAAAAAGGATCAGAAAGAAGTAAATCTAAATTTTTTAAGGTTTTATTGAAATTTTATTTAAGTTTCCACATGTCCTCCAACATTAGCAATACAAAGGGTAATACAATTTTGCAATTCATGGAAAACATTTGCCAACTGATTTACAGTAATGCCTGAAATCACATTAGTTATTTTAGCTATACTTAAAACTAGTTACTTTAAACTTTATAACATTTTTTACAGATTATTTCTATCGCAAATACAAATAAAGTTATAAATTTTTTAAAGTGCACACGAACTTTATGGACATCATATATTATATATATATGGGGAAATTGTATGACAAAGTGGGGAAAATTTACTTGTGACTTGTTTCGTCCTTCGGAACTTCATCATACTAAATTTGTTATGTTGGTATCACTACACATGTGCACAAACGAGGGGTGCTGGGGAGTTTAGAAATTTTTTGAATTTTTTTTCTAAAAAAATAAAAGAAAAAAATAAATTTAGTCTGATGAAGTCCTGAAGAAAGAAATGTGTCACAAATAAACTTTTTCTGCTTTGTCATACAATTTCCCCAATATTGTTCTTGATATATAAAAATATATATCATTATCTCCTTATATATATATATATATATATATATATAAAACTTGTTTATGAGACATTTTCCAACCAAAGTTAACTTTAGTAATGGTGAAATTTATGAAGTGTTGTGCTGTGACAAAACTCCTGAACAATGGCTAAAAATATTGACCAACTAATCATCATTCTCTAAGTTACACATAAATTATATGAAGTTACACATCATAAAGTATTAAATCTGTGACTATTCATGATTTGGCTGTGACAATAAACTGCATTAGGCAGCAAGGCCCCTGATTGGCAGCTTCTGAAGAGAATGGAACCACCTCTTAATTGTTGTTGTTCCCAGGTCCAGTTTTTACTATGAAAATCTATTGATGGTATTTTTACTATAAAAATGTTTTGACCCCAGTTTGGGGGTTCACTATTTGACCAGAGCTGGGAATCTAACAGGTGCTACCACCCAAGGTTAGGGTAGATCTGGAAACAACAGCAATTAAGAGGTGGTTCTATGCTCCTCAAAACCTCTTGATTAGAAGCCTTGCTACTGAATGTAGTTTATCAAGATACCCAGGATACATAAGGAGTTGATATGCTGTTAAACAAACAACAAACATTCATGATTTGGTACCATCAAAATTAATTTAAGCAGATGTTTACTAAGCATAGCTTAATTTTGGCACAAGGCTATGTTTTTGGGAATGCCAGTGAGGATCAAACTCACTATTCTGAAGTAATTGTTTGCAAGACAAACTATTAATCATTGCACCATAATTAAACATACATAGATTTAAGTAGGTGTTTATTATTTTAATGAAAGGCAACCATAGTTGCCTCCTCCTTGAACTACTCATTTATAAAAGAAATCGTCAAACCTTACTTATGAGCAATAGTCTTTGAATATAGTTCACAACAAACCTAAACATTTGTCTGTTTTTCTTTACTAATTATATTGTATCATCTGTTATTATAAATCTGGTTGTTCTACTGTTGTATCTCCCTTTTCAGATGGTACATCCATTTTAAACTTTGTTAAATATAGATTAAACCAGGTAATTGAAATAAAAAAAGATAAAGATATATATTGAATAGGAAAAAATATCAGTCTTTTTAAAAATGTTTCAACTGAGAAGAGTTAGAAAAACTTATACAATACGAATGGCCTCAGCCTTGGAAGTGAATGTCTGCTCAAAACAAATGGATCTGATACTGGCCATCGCATCTATGATGTCAGTCTTCAAGGACTCATTGATATAGTGGAGTTGCTCATTGGCCTTTCTCTTGATAATGCTCTAGGAATACCAGTTGAAGGTTTTCAAATTAAGTGAACTCAAAGGTCACATGAAAATGACAAGTTCATGAAAATTTGCAACCAGCCACATTTGGGTTAGTTAGGTGATGTGGAAGGGAACACAGTCCTTCTTGAACAGGTATAACTTTTGACCCAATGGTTGACCATTAAGTCTAACAACTTGATGTAGGTAGTGGCACAGACATTGAGGCCCCAAAGGAATAAGTATAGTGGCATGGTATAGGCCTTACTGCTTAGTAAGGCTAGCTGAGGGTCTTGGTAAAGTTCATCCTTCTTTGAACATTGTCAACTGATGCTACAGAATAACAAAGACCTGTACAAAATGACAAAAACCATATCACTTGAGGACTAGCAACAGCTAAAATGGATAGCACATGTAACTTGAAGAGAAAATAATGACAATCAAGATGTTAACATTCCACACAAATTCAAATAAAAGTTTAGGAAGGAAACACACATCAATATTAGAAAGAGAAATAACTACTGTACTTGGGAAAGCCTGTTTTCCTGAAAAATTGTTTCAGGAGAAAGATTTTATAAATTTCATACTGCAGAGGATATAGTTATACCATTTACATTGTTTGGACTGTTGTCTTCATCATTGTTTTCATATTCACAACATTTCGGCTGTTGTACACTTCAGCCTTCTTCATGTGATATACGTTGGAATTTCAAACCAAATCCTTTATTTAATCCACTGGGGTAGATTGTTCTAATTCTATGTGCCATGCCTTTTCTGGATATCTCAGTTTCAGTTATACAATATGGGAACCAGTAATAAAGAGTGTGAGAGAAAAACAACAATAACAAAAAATTGCAATATGAGCTCTGGTAAAAAAAAACAGTTATCGAAGCATTAGGTTTATAAGTCCCCAAAATTCATTCACTGATGTCCCCAAGGATAAAAGCGTTGGTTGAAGTAATTCTTGATCCAAAGAGTTGTGAGTTCAATACCTGGCCAAAGCAGAGATGAACAAAAACTTGGAGAGTTGAGTTATTAAAGGGAAATAACTCAAGCTGAGATATCCAGAAAAGGCATGGCACATGGATGTAGAACAATCTACCCCCATGGAGTAAATAAATGGTTCAGTTCAAAATTCCATATATATCATCTGAAGAAGACCAGAGTGTACAACATGGTGAATATGAAAATAAAGATGAGGACAACAGTCCAAACAATGTAAATAGTTGCAATACATCATCTCAGGAATATAGACAGATGCTGCAGAAAAAAATTTCAATGCACCTGACCATTCACCATCAATGTCTTTACAGTCATTTATTTTCAGCAAATGGCTATTCCCTGTTTTCTCAAAATGGGCCAGCACAACCAGGCAACAATGCTATAACAACACAACAATGAAAGTGTTAAAAGCCAGGATTTTAAATAGTAATCATCAAAGATAATAGGTTTACTCAATCATAGATTTCTCCAAATCCCATCTTGCCCTGTTTGAGACAAAGTTTAGATGACATCATTGATTTTTCATGAGTGCCAATGTTTGGCATCTGACCTAAAATAAAAGCTACAATTTTAAGACTGGCAGAACTTAATCACTTGAAAAATTAGTTAAACAGAGTGAAGAGTTATACTTCTATGACATGACATACTGATCTCTTTATAGAGCATACAATACTTAGTATTGTCCCTTCCTCAACAATATAAATCCAAGTGTCTGTACAACAAATATATGAAAAGAAAATGGTTTTATCAATACTTAAAATCATAGTATGACTTGTTATTAGCAGAGCAGAACAGAGGTGGGGTCAGCTACGCACACTAGTATTGGTCTATGATAAGAGGTAGAGATAGAGAGTGGACCTCTTTGATCGTCTTCTATGTGCCATGTCCCTTCAAGATGTGGATGATCATGGCTCTCCACAATTTCCTGTCCACTGTAGCCCTTAGTAAAGTTTATCTTTTAGCTATATTCCCTAATCCCTGTTCTGCCAACCATTTACACAAGCTTGTTAGGTACATTATGTACTGCATTCTATTGTCCCTCTTACCTTCAATATATCTTGTGAGTGTCAAATTTTCCAAGCCATCTTTCCTAATTATGTGTCCTAGGAATTTTAACTTGAACCCTTTATTTCATCCACTGGGGTAGATTGTTCTAGTTCCACATGCCATGCTACTTCTGGATGTCCCAGTTATTTCCCTTTCAAGGACACATGACCCAGTGGATAAAGGTGTTGGTTAGATCCAGTGACAACACCCAAAGAGTTGTGAGTTCAATACTAGGCTACAGCAATGGTGAACCAAAACTTGGAGAGTTGAGTTAAAGGGGAATTCCAATCACCTGAAGAAGGCTGGAGCATACAATGGCCGAAACATTGTG